TCTCTTGTGCTGTGATGTATGTTGGCTTAACTGGTCCAAAAGTGAAGGCTGTTTGTAATACTTTTATTTTTAATTGAAATTGGAAAGTCAAAAGTGGAAGGTTTGYGCTACAAAAAAAGAAAGAACTTCAAAAAAGRAAAAAAAAARCGCTACACCACTGGCCACTAGGTGTGTATTGTTTCGAACCACCACAGTATGACCCACCTCCTCCCAAACTTTTGCCCGCATACAAACAGAAGCTGTGCCGGTGTGACATAACGGCTTGGCATGGACCGGTTCAAGCTGTTCAGATGCAAAATGAAATAGGTTTGGTAAATTTACGGTCTGCCGTACTGGCTTTAGGGTCAGGCACCTCTGGTGCTATGTTCACTCTAAGGAAGCATGAACTGGTTGGACAAGTGACCTGGCGCCTGGATATAACTTGGCACGATTATGTTATCAGCGGGCCTGGTCCTATGAATGTGTTCTACGAACTGATTAAATTACACGAGGAGTAGGATAATCGAAGCTCGTGTTTTTTTTTTTTCCTTTTCTTTTTTTGTCACCCCCACAGGGAAAGTGTTGTGGATTGCATTGTGCAGGTATTCTTGCCGCGGTGGATATGGAAGGGGTCATATAATTGAATAAATTTAACGATACTGGATCTAATAGCACTCTTCTGCTTTGCATTTTTATCATTCTGTTTGGCATATCGTTCGGGCGGCATTTGCTCACTGATTGTTTCTGGCGGCATTTGTTCTCTGATTGTTTCTGGCGGCCTTTGTTCGGGGCATTCTTGTTGGTTTGTGTTCCTGCTCTCCTATCTCTACCAATTTACAGTTTGTTAGCTACGACATGGGAAGAGCATTGACGACAGATGCTTTGCCATCATCGCATCCTATCGAAGTGCCGATCAATGATCCAAAAGAAATCAATCAAGTTTTTGATAACCTGAGCTATGAGAAGGGAGCATGTGTGATCCGCATGCTAGAGGCTACACTGGGCTCAGAGGCGTTCAAGAAAGTGAGTGGTTTGCACCCTCTCCTCCCTTCTCCTTCCTCTCTTCTCCTCTCTTCTTCCCTGTTCCCTTCTCTTCTCCTCTCTTGCCCCCTCTTTTGCTTCTTCTCCTCTCTTCTTTTCTCCTCTTTCCCCTCTTCCCATCTCCCGTCTCTTCTCCTCTCTTTTCCCTTCTTTCCCTCCCTTCTCTCATTTCTCCCCACTTATCTTGCTTCTCCTTGCTTCTCTTTTCTCTCCTCTTTTCCTCCTCCCCTTCTCTTGAACCCTCTCCTCCCTCCTCCTCTCTTCTCCTCTCTTCCCCTGTTCCCTTCTCTTCTCCTCTCTTGSCCCCACTTCTCCTTCCTCTCTTCTCCTCTCTTCTCTTCTCCTCTTTTCCCCTCTTCCCATCCCCCGTCTCTTCTCCTCTCTTCTCCCCTCTTTCCCTCCCTTCTCCCCTTTCTCCTCACTTCTCCTGCTTCTCCTGCTTCTCCTCTTTTGTCCCCTATCTTCCTCTTCTCCCCTTCTCTTCTCCTTACTGCTCTTGTCATCTGCTCTTGTCTTCTCTTCCCCTCTCCTCTGCTTCCTTCTGCTCTCGTCTGCTGCCCTCTGGTCTCTTCTGCTCTCATGTGCTCTCCTCTCTTACAATATTCTCTTCCATTGGGTGATTATCTCCAGACTGAATAGAAGAAGTAATTACAAGGAATACCTGTTGTCCGTTCTTCTCTGTAGTCAGTTCGCTGCTCTGTGGAGTCTTTCAGGCCGTGCTATTTGACAGTTATCCAGTATATCCTGCGGAAATTGCTTAACCCCTTTTTGGAAAGTACAACTGTTGGTGGTTGAGTACACGTGTGAATGTTAGGCGGGGTCGTTCGTCAACCACAAGCTCACACACGGGGTCGATCGTCAACCACAAGCTCCAGACGTTATCTGGTCCAATTTGGTCCACATTCATGCACTGTGACCARCTCCTTTGCCTAGGTGGTTTCTGGGCAAAGCACCCACATTTGTATTGTACTYTAGCAGAGGCTGCGCATCTGATCTTGGGTTCTTGAAGGCGCCTTGTGGAGAATGTTTGTCAAATAATCCGGAGGAAGCCTCTTGTCCGTCTGCGGAATCTGACTGACCATGTTCACTGCCTGAAAGGGTTGGTTTCCCTYCCAAGCTACCTACTATAGGGCCTCCGTGATGCAACGGACGGTCTCGAGGGAAGCTCAGTCACAATCTGGTGCTGTGCTGTACTACACATTTTCTTAGTGGTTAGGAGACTGAATTTCCGTGCTGTGGGTCATGGTCTTGATAGCTGTTTTGGTCTGAAGATTGGCCCGAACCCGAACGCAGAGGTAACTATGATGCCTCCTACTTGCGCGGAGAGGGCAGTCCGGCATGCTGAGAACCTAATGAAGTCTTAACCATCATAGCCCAATGGGGTTTGTTCCAAGGGATCAAGTCCTTTAAATTTTATTTTGGGGAGAAAACCCGCCTGTGTTCTTAAGGTGCACGAGTTTCAGCTTGATTAGAATTGAGACGCAGGAGGATTCTGATATCTTTGTTGTCTTCGTTCTCCTCTTCCCTGTCCTCTTTGTCCTCCGACTCATTCATCCTTCTGTCCTCCTCCTGTCCTCCTCATTGACCTCCTGTTACTCTTACTCATCCTCATCTTCCTCTGTGTCCGCCTCATCCTCTTGTCCTCCTCATTGAACTCCTGTTTCTCTTACTCGTCCTCTTCTTCCTCTGTGTCTTTTTCTTCCTCTTCCTCATCCTGATTTGCTAAAGACTCTGATTACCTTCTTGTGGATACACTGTTACGAGTGGCGATTRTGTGATTGCCAAGCTGGTGTTATGGGACAAAAGGATAAACAAAGGACGTTCAAACCGCTAGTACATGGCCACAGCCTTGCGGAGAATTGTTCGTAACCTACTCCGAAAGAGTTCGACTGCGCACGCTGGCGATAAAATACATCAGCGGCCGGCGTCGTGTTTCTTCGAAAGGTGCCTGCGGCCAATGTATGGCATGTACTGGTGGTCTAAGAGGGTGGAAAGGCACCTTGTATTGCTATGAATGAAGTGATATGGGATGTAATGGTCGTGTACCCTTCGGAAGCTGAAACTGACCTTGGGAGTAGAAGACTCTGCTGTAACAGTGAGCGACCATCTGTAATCTTTGAAATTGCAGGGCCTTCACCAGTACCTCGATTCAAGGAAATATGGAAATGCGGTGACYGCAGACCTGTGGGCAGCATTAGCAGACGAATCGGGGCAGCCTGTGCCGTCGATGATGRACTCGTGGACGCRACAGGTGGGCTATCCGTTGGTCACAGTGAGTATTYCCCAAGGGGGCACCCACTCGGGTCTTTCCGTCCGCCAGACACGTTTCCTCAGTATGGGCGCACCAACTCCTGAGATGGATACACAGCTTTGGTGGGTGCCGATAACAGCRCAGACAGGCGGCTCACTACTGGAGAAAGTGCCTGTGGAGCTGCCACAAGCAGTCCTCAAGGAGAAAGAGGCGGTGTTGCCAGAGCTGATTGTTCCTGATACTAACAAGTGGTTGAAGCTGAACCATGGGCAAACAGGCATATATCGTGTGAACTACCCGGTGACAATGTGGCATGGGTTGATGGAGGCTGTGAAGTCGTTATCCTTGTCTACTGCTGACCGGCTTGGTGAGTGAATGCTCGTTCCCTATCTGATCTTTGCCTGCTCTGCTGGTATTTATTTACGATTGTTGAACGGGAAACACGACCACTATTTTCTCCGTCCATTTGTTCAATCTGCCCTATCCATCTCAGCATATCCCATGGGCTTTCTAAGCGGGGAACAGTACCCAGGCTCCTAACAGGGTGTGAGCTGATGCAAATACTTGCACAACCAGCCGACTTTCTCGGCTGGTGAACCCAAAGCATACCACACAGGGTGTCGCAGGGAATCGAATGGCTGGAGGCCGGGAATCCAACCCATGACCCCAGCGACCCCTGCTAAGCTTTTAGTATGTAGGTAGGTAGTGGGAGGCATATTGAGAGAAGAATATAGCTTAGTTAAAAAAAAAGAAAATAGAAGTGGGGGGCAGGGTTGCACCCCCCGACAGTCAGCAGCCCTCGGCTGGTCGGCTGTGGATCCACCGACCGATTCGCTGGTCGACGCCTACCTGTTGGGGGTTGTCGGCACCCCGCAAAAGAAAAGGGGTCCAGAACGGATTGCAGAAACCCTAATAACACCACCAACACCCGCATAGCGGCCCCCAATACCTTCATACACCCCCCAAACCGCCCCCAACGCCCTCATTACACCCCCTTCGCCAATACCCCCTATATCACCCCTATACCCCCCTATACCCCCCTATACCGCCCTATACCCCCCCTATACTCAACCCCAACCCCCCCATACCCTCCCCCATCCCCAAAAGTCTCAGCGGATTTGGGCTGTACTCAGCAAGCGCAGTACAGCCCCCAACTCAGATTTGAAAAACAATCAGTGGATGGTTGTTTTCTGACTGGTCGGCAGACCGCCGACCGGTCGGCCCTACTGGTCGGCTCCAATACAATCGGCAGTCGGGGTCGGCGGTCGGCAGAGATACAACCCTGAGGGGGAGGTTAAAAAAAAAAAAAAAGCAATTCTGCCCTACCCATCGTTTTGAAAGTCGTCAGTAGGTTTCATCTATGTCTGTGGCCGTGCAGGCTGGAGACGGTGTGTGTATTTTATGCGGACGGTACTGTACAAGTCGTACTTCAAACAACTCCCGCTCAGGAGAAGTCCATGCACAAAGACTTGAAGACAAGCCGCACAGAACTCCCCACTGAAGGGAAATGAACTCGACTTACGACAATCTTTGAAACACCACTAAGACAAGCAGTCGACACACAAGGACACAAGGCAGGGAAAAAAAGAAACATCAGAGCAGACATGAAACAGGCAGGCAAAAGCAGCAAGACAAGTGGCAACACAGGCTGGACGGCATGGGGGAGGCAGGAGGGCAGACAATGCACAACTGCACAAGTCAAGGAAAAGACAGCCACCAGACAAAAGATTGAAAAACCGAACAGAGTGGAAAAAAAAACAAGAATTCTTGATGATGATAGGTTGTTTTGTCGGACGTGCGATGACCATCAGGAGGCTGAACCCTCAACAATCTGTGCAATCCCCTATTGATGCTGTGGGTCATGAACCCTTGGACCCTCGTTGAAACCAGACTGCGAGCAGGCAACACCACAAGTGGAACATAGCAGCAGGCAACGACTCAGTGAAGCGCCCGACAAAGCTGCCTACGCAACCCAACTACACAACGTGAGAGCTAACTGCATGGAACGACTGCACAGGCGGACGACAGCATGGCAACAACACAGTGAAGAACAAGGGTGACACTGCCAAAGGAAGACGAGGCACATGGATGGGCAGAGAGGCAAACGTGCAGTGAAGCAGAAGGCAACAACAACAACACGGCCAAACATGCAGCGAAGCACAAGGCAACAACAACAACACGGCCAAACCACAGGCAGCAAGGCAGCATAGACAAGGCAGTGCACACATCCAACATGGAGCAAAGCAGCACATCACCCACTCGCACCAAAAGTGAACCCCTCAGACTGTTGGTTCCCACCGCCCACAGAGCTGGGGAGTCACTTTGATGAGCATCGGTCATCACCCGTAGGAATCACAGACATCCGGAACTGAGCGGCCCCCCTTATAGTGCTGCAGGCACTCCAAACGAAGAATGATGGACTATTTGGCACTGCTTAGAGGTGCTCAGTTAGACACACAAAGTACTCGGCAAACAAATAAGCAAAAAAGATAGAGATAAATGAAACTGATTGTGTGAGTGTTTTGTGTGTTGTCTTGTGTTGTCATGTTTGCTATACATAGCTCCACAAAAGAAAGTATGACTGTGCCAGACTGTTTCATTGAAGTTTCACCGACTCATCAGGAGGTTGAACCCCAACAGTCTGCCCAGGATGCATCTGACTGATGGATAAGGACTTCACCATGTCGCCCAGAGTTAGCGATATCCCTGAGAACAGTGGTCAAATTTACTCACACCAACCCTGCAATCCTAGCATACTCCCGATGCCACCCCCCCTGACAAGAATAGCAGTAAATCTGAGAAGACAGCCCGTCACAGCCATAACGCCCACTGTACACACCCACTCCGCCATGGAAACACACTCTGTGTGTGTATGTGTGTGTGTGTGTGTGTATCTGTGTGTGTGTGTGTGTGTGTGTGTGTGTGTGTGTGTGTGTGTGTGTGTGTG